ACCCACTGGGGCGGGGAGGGGAGCGGGGAATGAAATGACAGAACAACCAAACAAACAAAAATCTTCCATCCAGGCCAACTCTGTCCAGGAAAACTATAATGCAGGCCCCATTATGTAATTTTAGATTTTTCTAGTGGCCACATTCAAAAGTAAAAAAGAAACAGGTGGAAAGAATTGTAATAATATATTTTATTTAACCCACTCTACCCCAAAGATGATCATGTCCATATTTGATTGGTATAAAAATTACTCGTGAGGCAGTTTACATGTTTTTGTGTGTGTGCAAAGTCTTCCAAATCCAGTGCGTCTTTTATACAGTCAGCACTTCTGAATGTGGACTAGCCACATTAGCAGTGCTCCAAAAAGCCACACGTGGCTTGTAGCTACCGTTTTGGACAGAGCAGGTCTCGACTGTAAGTGACATGAGCCTGCAGAGGCCAGGGGCCCCCCTCAGTCCCAGAGTACCCGCTGCCTGCCAGACACCCAGCTGAGCACTTCGCATACCTCATACATCCCCTCATGTTGTCCTCACGCAGACCTGTGAGGTTAGGCATCATCATCACCCCATTTCACAGGTGGGGAAAGCGAGGCCGAGAACACAGAAAACACTTCCCTAAGGTCATCTGGCTGGGAAGCAGCAGACCCAGGTCTCTCACGGTCCAGTGCCAACCTCAGCACTTCCAGGTTTTCTGAAAAGGATTTTCTGGAACAGGCCAAATCGTAAACATTGTAGGATTTTGGACCAAGCTGTCACAACCACTCAGCTCTGTCACTGTCGCAGGAAAGCAGCCTCAGGCCATGTGTAAACAAATGGACAAGGCTGTGTTTCAATACCATGCCATTTAGAAAAACAGGGATAGGGCTGAATTTGGCCCACGGGCCATAGTTTGCCACCCCCTGTGCCAGGCTAACAGGACTGCCCCTGTAGGCCCAGTGTGGAGAAATCTCAGTAATCAACGACCAGCGTTTTGTGGCACAAGCATGTGTGTGTGACTTCCAAAGTCACCCCAGAACCCCCGGTGTTCAGAAGGATCCAGAGCATCTGCCTTTTGGTGGCCCCTCAGACTCTGCCAGGGCCCAGGCGGCCCCTTGAACTCTGCAGCCCTCCCCGAGCCGCCTGGCTATAAACATGAGTTATTCCCACTCTCAGGGCTGAGACAGAGGGGAACTAAACGCCAGGATTGATGAAATCCTGGACATCAAGTCTGGCACCATCATGCCTGCATTTGGGAAAATTGCCTTTAATTAATGGTTTATAACCCCAAAGCCTGCCCCCTCCTCAGTCCTTCAGCCACACTATCTCCTTGGAGCTCAGTCCTGGGCAGTAGAGTGAAGGAGGTGGGGGTGGTGAAGAGCTAGCTGTCTTTTCTCCGAAACCAAAATGTGTGGTTTGCTCAGATGAACTCAGCTTGGCCTCTGGCATTCCTCGAGCCTGGAGTCCATAAATAAGCTGAATTGAAAAGCCATCTTCCCCTCACAGCCCTGAGGCCTGTTAGCCACAGAATAACTCGCACACACTCATGAAAACACATCACACTCAAGAAAGTTTGCACTTATGCAGGAAGTTTGCTTTTTTTTTTTTTTTTGGGCTATCCACTTATCTGTCATCCCTCTCTACCCTCCACTCACTCTCTCCTTCTTCTTCCTGTTTATCTTTTTGTGTTTGTTGTTTCTGTGGCACAATTTCTCTCCTGAAGCCTCGCTCTTTGAGTCTTTCTTCCCTCCTCTCTATCATTCTCTCTCTCTCTCTCTCTCTCTCTCTCTCTCTCTCTCTCTCTCTCTCTCTC